AATTTTAATAACATTGATCATGAAAGAACAAACAATGTCAATCAATTTTAGCGAGACCTTTGCCGTATAAAAGAAGTTATATTTAATAAAAGTCGCGGTTTTGGTCCTTGCTCGATAAGTGAATAATGGAAAATTGGAGAAAGATAACTCGTTTTCCTAATTTTATCCTGGTTTATATTTTTTTTTAAATTGTTTATGTGAAAACAAACGATGCCTTCCAATTTCAGCGGGGCCTTTCGCGTATATAAAGAGTTATAATCAACAGAAGGCAAGATTTTGGTCATTGCTTAGTTAGCGTATGGTAAAAAATTGTAGGTCAATTACTCGTCCTCCCAATTTTATCCTGGTTCACGATTTCAAGTACATTCGTTATGTGAAAACAAATAATGTTTATGAGATTCACCTAAGCTTTTGGCGTGTAAAAGAAGTTATAATTAATAGAAGTCGCGGTTTCTGTCCTTGCTCGATAGGTGTATAATGGGAAATTAGAGGAAAATTAGTTGTCCGCTTAATTTTATCGTAATTTATAATTTTTAAGTACATTGTTTATGTAAAAACAGACAATGTCTACCAATTTCAGCATGGCCTTTGAAGTATACAAAAAGTTATAATTAATGGCAGTCACGGTTTTTGTTCTTGCTCGATAAGTGTATGAGAAAAAGTTGAAAAAAAATTAGTCGTCCTCCCAATGTTATCCTAGCTTGAAATTGTAAGTACATTGTTTATAAAAAACAACGGTCTATGAATTTCAGCGGGGCCTTTAGTGTATTTAAAAAGTAATAATTAAAAAAAGTCGCAGTTTTGGCCCTTGCTCGATAAGTGTATGATAAAGAATTGAAGAAAAATTACTCGTCCTTTCAATTTTGCCTTAATATATAATTGTTAGTGCATTGTTTATGTAAAACAGAATATGCCTATCAATTTGAGCGGGGCCTTTGGCGTACATAAAAAGTTATAATCAACAGACGGCAGGATTTCGGTCCTTGCTTAATTAGCGTATAGTAGAAAATTAAAAGAAAATTCCTGGTCCTCCCAATTTTATCCTAGTTTATGACGTTAAAGACGTTGGTTATATAACATATGACAATGTCAATTAATTTTAGCAAGGTCTTCGGCGTATATCAGAAATTAAAGTGATAGAAGTCACGGTTTTAGTCCTTGCTTGATAAGTGTATGATGTATAATTGAAGAAATATTAGTTGACCTACTAATTTTATCCTGGTTTATGATTTTCAGTACATTGTGTATGTAAAAAAAACCAGTGTATATCACTTTGAGCGAGGCCTTTTGCGTATATGAAAAGTTATAATCAACAAAAGGAGAGATTTCGGTCCTTGCTTAGAATCCATATGGTGGAAAATTTAAGGAGAGTAACTCGTCCTCCCAATTGTATCCTAGTTAATAATTATAAGTACATTTTTTATTATTCAAACAAACAATGTCTGTTAACTTTAGTGGGGCCTTTGGTGTTTATAAAAAGTTATAATTAACAGACAGCGAGATTTCGGTCCTTGCTTAGTGAGCGTATGGTGCAAAATTAAAGAAAATATACTCGTCCTCACAATTTTATCCTAGTTAATGATTTTAAGTACGATGTTTATGATTAAAACATATAATATTTATCAATTTTAGTAGGGCCTTTGGTGTATATAAAAAATTATAATTAATAGAAGTCACTGTTTTGGTCCTTGCTCGATAAGTGTATGATAAAAAATTGGAGGAAAATTACTCGATTTTTTATGTACAATTATCTTATAGTTTATAATTGTAAGTCCATTGTTTATGTAGAAAAAAACAATGGCTTCTAATTTGAGCTGAGTCTTTGGTGTATTTAAAAAGTTATAATTAATAGAAATCGCAGTTTTGATCCTTGGTCAATGAATGTATAATGGAAAACTGGAGAAAAATTAGTCCTTCCCTCAAATTTATTCTGGTTTATGATTTCCATTACATTGTTCATGTAAAAACGCACAATATTTATCGATTTTAGTGGGGACTTTAGTGAATATGGAAAGTTATGATTAATAGAAGTTGCGGTTTTAGTCCTTGCTCAATAAGAGTTTAATGGAAAATTGGAGGAAAATGAATCGTCCTTCCAATTGTTTTCCAGTTTATGATTGTAAGCACATTGTTTTTGTTGAAAAAAACAATGTCTATCAATTTTAGCGGGGCCTTTGGTGTTCATAAAAAGTTATAATCAACAGACAGCAAGATTTCAGTCCTTGCTTAGTGAGCGTATGGTAAAAAATTGTAGGTCAATTACTCGTCCTCCCAATTTTATCCTGGTTCACGATTTTAAGTACATTGGTTATGTGAAAACAAATAATGTTTATGAGATTCAGCTAAGCCTTTGGCGTGTATAAGAAGTTATAATGAATAGAAGTCGCGGTTTCTGTCCTTGCTCGATAATTGTATGATGGGAAATTAGAGGAAAATTAGTTGTCCGCTTGATTTTATCATAGTTTATAATTTTTCAGTACATTGTTTATGTAAAAACAGACAAAATAAAGTAAATATACTCAACCTCCTAATTTTATCCTCGTTAATAATTGTTCAGGATTGATACGGTGCAGCGCACGCGCCTCACGGTGTTCGAGACACTCGTATCAACTGATGTCAGCGTTAGCTAATGAGTGCTCGCGTGAGTCACGCAGGAGAGGTAAGAATAAGCCTAGAGGTGGTAGCGACAGCAGTTCGCCCTCGTCGCTCGCATAGTGCAGTCCAGTTGCCTCTAGTGTTGTGCCTCATATAGGCGTACTTTACTTTAGTTGCCATAAATTCTCGTCACCTTGTGTATCAGTCACAGTGATTTGTACTCCTCGTTCAATTCAATTTAATGAACTTCGTTAGTGCGATCCTTTCTATTGTTAACTGTAATTATTCGTCAAGACTTCTCAACTCAAATCGAGTGTTTTGTTTTCTTTTCATAATAAAGCATAGTGAACTTTGAACATTTGTCTCGTGCATGCTCTATTACAGAGGAACGATATTCGTCGTTCTCTCTCCACATCTCTTCTACATTTTCCTTGTCTCATCAACCTGTATCCGGCTCCCTGAGTCATTCGCTCCTAATAAAAAAAAAGAAGAAGAAAATCAAAGAAATACAGTCCATTTGGAACATTGTCCTTCGAGCCGGATACGGTTGGGAGACTCACAAAGTTGTGCCGTGCTGGTTGCGCCATTAGAGTAGCACGTTTCTTTTACGCCTTTTCGGCAGCCATATTGTCTTCTTCACGCATAGTCGCGTGCGAGAGGGAGAGAGCATATATATAGTTGAGCGACGAGAGGGCGAACGCCACAGAGCATTCGGGGCTCTGTGTTCTCTCTCCCCCTCTCCCACTCTCTTTCTCCTTGTGGACTTTGAGCCTTGTTGTTTGACTCGTTTTCTCTCCCTTGTTCCTACACACATGAGGAAATCGCGTACGCACACTCTTCACGTTAACCTTAGTTAAATGTTTACTAAATTCAGCGTGCGTGTCAGGTAAATTTTAGCCTACGACCATCACCTCGATGCTAATCAACAACGGCCTTTCGTCCGAGCTGGTACCTGGAATTTCTGCGAACGCTATACTGCCACGTCTGGTAGGAGATGCTAGCCATGAGCCCAGCTGCCGCTAAGTGCTGATTGTTGATTGCTGTACATCTTCGGCTCTCCTAAGTTGCTGCAGCGTTGTATGAATATCTCACTGATAAGTACCAGTGCTCGCGAAAGGGTTGTGATTAGTGAAAATAGACAATTGACTTTGAATAATTAGTTTAATTGTTTAAATTTCACGTAAATTTGAAACTCAATTTTAATTATAGTATTTAGTATCCCGCTTACAAACTTGAGTACTCATGAAATTAATTATAATAACATACCTCTTTTGAAATAGTTTGATAACTACAATTAGTTAATTATAGTTTTTCGAAATACAAACACATGTTAGATAAATTTGAAAATTATAGATAAATCAACTTGATAGTAAATTTGCGAACCCGCTTTGAAATTTGAATTGATGGATAAAATTCAATTTAGTGTGTAGACAAACCTTATTTATTTGTAAGAGTAATTGTTATCTCTCAGTTGCAGATACCTTAGTCACTGGACTCAATCATAGTTATATTCATTATCAAATCTGGTCTGGTAAATTTACTGTATGGCATTAGTAATCGTTACTTGTATCTCCTCGTTGTTGGTCGATACACTACTGCATTTGCTGCGCCTTTGCTTATCGTTGCCTTCAAGTACAATGCTATAACCTTTGTAGATCTAGCTACTATTCAGAATCACTACCTCAGTTAAATTGTTTAATAGTTATTTTGTATTCGTTTACCCTCTCTTTGCATTGATTAGTTCTCATTCATATATAGTTACTTAGCCCCTTGATACTTTAACTTACTAGTGGGTGGTCTACACATACTTTGTTTGCTGAGTTACGAGCTCAAGAGCAGCTTATGGCCGTCAACTCTTTAGTCTTTGCTTCGTTATAGTACATTTGCTCATAGTACACCCACTTATAGTCTCTTCCGCTTATAGTCTCTCCCGCTTATAATTTCTTCGCATTAGAGTGACAGGCTCAAAACTTTTGATAGCTGTCAATCTTTTAGTTCTCGATTCAAAACAGTTTCTCCTGACTTGAGAAGTTGGTTTAAAATTGCCTGATGACCTTTCATATTGTTTTCTTGTCTTGATAGTTTCTTCGCATAGTAAGTTGCAGGCTCAAGCATAGCCTGATAGCTGTCAACCTTGTTCTCATCTTGATATAGTCACATTAGTGTAAAGTCACTGTACATAATTATCTTAGTTTTGTAACTTCGAGCTGATAGCTAGTTCTCGACTTCTTTTGAGTGTTAATAGTTATTTATATTCGATCTGGTTGTTCGATTTCTTCTTTATCACTATGGATGAATATTATGATAAACTAAATTCGACCTATGAAAAAATCTGTAACTCTTTCGGTAATTTTAAAAAGAAACCAGAAAAGATGACCGCAGGTCAAGTATCTGCTTGATTAGATATGTTGAAGAACTTATTCGAACAGTTCAAACGAATCCATGATGAGATCATTGAATCGGAGGATCTTGATCTGAATCATGCTTATTTCAGATCGAAGTTGTTTGACCTGACCGAGGAGGCTTATTATAGTCAGATTGGAGAGTATCGTGATTTTTTAAGTCGTATAGCCCCGATCGACGATCCTCGGCCATCACTGGCTCCTATAAATCCAAGTATAAATCCGAATTATCTTAGTCTGCCCCGACTAGACCTTCCGGATTTCGACGGTTCATGCGCCAATTGGGAGTCTTTCCGCGACCTGTTTAAAGCTTTAGTTCACAACAGGGAGGAGTATCCTCCTGTAGTTAAATTCCAACACTTACGCACCCATGTCAAAGGAGATGCGCTTGATCTGATTAAAAATATCAGTATAGTTGAAGGTAACTATGTCAGGGCTTGGAATACTCTTCTTGAGCATTACAACAGTAATAAGCGCTTAGTAAATAGTTATACTAGTCAGCTGTTGTCTATAGTACCTATAAAGTTGGAATCATTTACAGAAGTAAAACGCTTTAATATAGAGGTCTTTGGGGCGGTTGATGCTCTCTCGGCTCTTCGGCGAGATTTAGGTAACGGTGACGTTATAGTCGCTTTAGCTGTCAGTAAGTTAAATTTTAGTCTTCGTAAGGAGTGGTTTAAACATATTGGCAGTGTGGCAGAGCCTCCAACCCTCGATCAATTAAGATCTTTCTTTCACAATCAGATACAAACTCTTGAGTCATATCAAGATCGTTCCTTCGATCGAGAACCCAAGTCTACCTTCAAATCTAAATACTCGTCTCATGCAACTGTTAATGATGAGGTTGTTAAAAATAAAAAACCTTGCCCAGTTTGTGAGGACATTTACCCTCTCTGGTATCGTGACACTTTCCGAAGTATGACTTGGCTTGAAAAACGCGAGATTTTACAAATCCACCGTCGTTGCTTCAAATGTCTGGGTTCTCACTGGATTAAAGACTGTGTTTCTACTCAAACTTGTCAAAAGTGTCAACAAAAACATCATACCCTTCTGCACAAAGAGCAAGAGGAGTCTACTAAGAGTAAAAGGGATAAAAGGATCTCTGGTAAGAAGGCCTCTCTGGATATTATGGTGGTAAAGGAGTCTGAGTCGTCATCTGATGAGATCTCTTGTAATAATTGTTTAAATAGCTCGTTTCTCAAAACACCAACTGGTGTCTTATTAGCCACTGCCATAGTCAACGTTCACAACTCACTAGGTGAATGTTTTCAAGTCAGAGCTCTGATTGATTAATGTTCCCAGTGCTCAGTCATTTCACAGTCTTTGTGCTCTTTATTAGGTTTGCGTGGCTTTAAGATTAACGTGTCCCTGACTGGGGTTGGTAGTCAGACTTTTTCAAATAGCAAAAGAAAGGTCTCACTCCTCTTGGGCTCAACTGTGGATCCAAAATTTAAATTGGAAATAGAAGCTTTGGTCCTCCCACAAGTAACTTCTTACCAGCCCCCCTACTTGTCTAACGACAAAATTGTAAAGCACTTGCACCAGTTGCTCTTATCTGATCCGCAGTTCACTAAAACTCGCAAAATAGATCTGTTACTAGGATCAACTGTTTATGCTGTTATTATCAAGGGAGAAGTTGTTAAGGGAAATTCTTTTCAACCCATAGCATCTGATACACAGCTTGGATAAATCGTTTCAGGTCCGGTTGAAACTACCACTAAAAACAGTAAGAACGTGTCTCACTCGTTAAAGTGTTCTGAGGATGACAAAGTTCTCGAAGTTTTGAAGCGATTCTGGCAAGTTGAAGAACTCTTCACTTCTGTATTACCTCTATCGCCTGAAGAGATTCAATGCAAACAGCATTTTGTTGAACATCACGCTCAGAATTCTTCAGGTTGATATGTTGTTCGTTATCCTTTCAAGGACCAACCACCCGAAGTAATTAAAGAAACATCCTTCAAAGCTGCCCAAGCTATGCTCAAATCAATGGAGACTAAACTTAGTAAGAATCATAAGTTTCGCGAACTGTATGTCCAATTCATGGGAGAATATCTGGAATCAGGGCATATGGTCGAAGGATCTTTTGAAAAGGCTGAGTGTTTTTTATCCCATCATGGTGTTATCAAGGAGTCGAGTAGTACTACGAAATGGAGAGTGGTATTTAATGGTTCCTCTTGTTCTTCCTTGTGTCCCTCCTTGAATGAGTACTTGCACATATGACCTAATCTATTGGTAAATCTGGCTGATCTAATCACTGATTGGAGAAATTATAGATATGTCTTCACAGCTGACATTGCCAAAATGTTTCGGCAAGTGTCAGTCCATCCAAATGATCAACTCTATCAGGCTATACTGTGGAGAGATAATCAGTCCAAACCTCTGCGTATTTACTTTCTAACTACTGTAACTTACGGCCTAGCTAGCTCGCCCTATCTGGCTTCTCGAACTCTAAACCAGTTAGCTTTTGATTGCAAGAATAAGTACCCTTTAGCTTCCGAAACTCTTTTGAAATCTAAGTACATGGATGATATTTTGTCCGGATGTCACAGCTTGGTTGAAAGCATTCAGCGTAGGGACGAATTTTTGAAATTGACTGAATCAGAAGGTTTTTCTCTTCGAAAGTGGAGTGCCAATTTTCAAAAACTGCTAGATGATTTGCCACCCTCTCTGCTTGCAAGTTCATTATTGGAATTTAAAGATTCTGCTATGTCTACTTTAGTTTTGGGTCTTAGCTGGAACCCCCTTCTGGATCTTTTTCAATTTAAGGTGTTGATTGAAACTGAAGTGCCAGTAGATAATTGGACGAAAAGAAAGATTCTCTCTGAGATATCAAAACTTTATGATCCATTGGGTTGGTTAGCTCCTACTGTGATTTCGGCTAAAGCATTCATGCAATCTCTTTGGCTCTTGAAGCTGTCATGGGATGAACCGATTCAAGAGCTCATAGTTCAAGACTGGCTTGCCTGGTATAAGGAACTTCCTGCCTTGAGTAAAGTAAAAGTTCCACGCTGGAATGGTGTTACCGACGATATGGTTAAATGGGAATTACACTGCTTCGCCGATGCTTCTAAAACAGCGTACGCAGCGGTAATGTATTCTCGAGTAGTGAATAATAACGGTGAGGTCATTGTAGCCTTGCTCTTGTCCAAAACAAAGGTAGCACCACTTAAGACTTTGAGTATTCCTCGACTTGAATTGTGTGCTGCTCATTTGGCTGCCAAATTGGTGAATCAGTATTTGAACAACAGTACTCGTGTTCCTGATTCAGTCCATCTGTGGTCCGATTCTAAAGATGTCTTGTATTGGTTACAGGATGTACCATCACGGTGGCCCATTTTTGTGGCTAATCGGTGCTCTGACATACACACCTTAGTACCCTCCGCTCACTGGCATCATATTTCGACCAAGCTTAATTCCGCAGATGTTGCGTCTCGTGGAGTAAAATCAAGCTAATTTGTTGCACTGGAGCATTGGGTGAAGGGACCTTCGTTCCTACAGGAAATCGAACCACTTTACCCTTCGTTCAGACTAGATTCTGAATTAGCTACTTGAATGGACGCTCACGTTTGTGTTGCGGTACAAACCAATGATAAAATCGTTCAAAAACCGTGGTTTTGTATCACAGGTACTTAACTTTGAAGAAACTTTTAGCTGTCTCAGCTTATGTGTTAAGATTCGTGTTCAAGTGTCGTGTCAAAGCTCAAATGATGAAACTGAACGTCTCAATGTACCCTTGTGATCAAGTGAATAAATTGAGTAAATTAAAATTCCTTGACATTTCGGCTCACTTTCAATCGTCAACTAAAATTTTAGACACTAAAGAAATAAGCAATGCAACTCTTTTTTGGGTAAGCTATCATCAAGGTTTACACTTTCCCATTGAATTGCGCCTTCTTAATAGTAAGGAGTCTAAATCTTTTGTTGAGGGAATTTCCCTACCTTCTAATAGTCGAATAGCCAGTTTAAAACCTGTGCTGAGCAAGGGACTTCTCCGAGTTGGTGGACGCTTGGCAGCCTCACTTTTAGATGATCAGATAAAAAATCCTCTCATTCTGGCCCAGCACGATTATTTCACCAATTTGATTATTAGATCTATCCACGAGGTCACTTTACATGGTGGCGTTCAGTTGACACTGACAATATTGCGAGCTAAATATTGGATAATAAATGGTCGACAATGTGTTCGGTCCTGTGTCAATAGGTGTTTGAAATGTCGTCGCTTCCAAGCCTCCAATTTAACTCAGCAGATGGGTAACCTGCCTGCTGAACGAGTAAGACCAGCTCCAGCTTTCAGTAAAGTCGGTGTGGACTATGCAGGTCCATTTGCCATCAGATTGTCTAAGACTCAAAGAAGGGGGACCACGAAGGGTTATATAGCTGTTCATTTGTCTCAGCTCTAAGGCTCTCCATTTAAAAGTGGTCTAGGACTACACTGCTGAGTCCTTCGTTGCAGCCTTTCAACGGATGACAGCTCAGCGTGGGCATTGTTCTGATCTTTTTAGTGACTGTGGCACCAATTTTGTGAAGGCTGCAAAGGAATTGGATTGAGCTCTAAAAAACCTATTGAAAGAATCTGAATTAGCGCAAAGTCTAGTATCATTAGGGACTAACTGGTACTTTAACCCGCCGCATGCTCCTCACTTTGGGGGTATCTGGGAAGTGGCCGTTAAGTCGGTGAAATTCCATCTTAAACGAATTGTGGGAGAACAAATCTTCACCTTTGTAGAGCTTTGCACTTTACTCTGTAAGATTGAAGCTTGTTTAAACTCTCGCCCTTTGCTTCCATTAACGTTAGATGTCACTGATTCATTTCCTCTAACCCCGGCACACCTCTTAATCATGAGACCCACGTTTCTGTTGCCCGAGGTAGATACTACCAGTGAACGAGTTCCAACGCTCCATAAATGGAAACTTATCAGTCAACTGGCTCAATCTTTCTGGAAGCGTTGGTCTACCGAATATCTGCAGAGCCTTCAAGCTCGGAAAAAGTGGCCTCACGAGAGACCTTCTGTGCAGGTTGGTGATCTTGTTCTGATTAAGGACTCCCAGTTTCCCCCGGGACAATGGGCACTGGCTTTGATCATCAGAACTTACTCGGGTCCAGACGGTTTGATTCGAGTAGTCAAGTTGAGAACTGCAAATTCCACGTTTACCAGACCCATAGTTAAATTAGTTTTATTACTCACCAGAAAACAGTTCAGAGATAACAAACTCAAATGTGATGAGAACTATGGCTCGGTTTAAAGATTTTTTATTTATTGTCTAACTATTTTATTAATTACTTTCTTGTAAAAGGACAGCGGTTCTTAGTTAGTTTCAAAATTTAATTTCTCTCCTCGTTGATACGATAAATCAAGGGGGGAGTATGTTCAGGATTGATGTGGTGCGGCGCACGCGCCTTACGGTGTTCGAGACACTCGTATCAACTAATGTCAGCGTTAGCCAATGAGTGCTTGAGTGAGTCACACAGGAGAGGTTAGAATAAGCCTAGAGGTGGTAGCGACAGCAGTTCGCCCTCGTCGCTCGCACAGTGCAGTCCAGTTGCCTCTAGTGTTGTGCCTTATATAGGCGTACTTTACTTCAGTCGCCATAAATTCTCGTCACCTTGTGTATTAGTCACGGTGATTTGTACACCTCGTTCAATTCAATTTAATGAACTTCGTTAGTGCGATCCTTTCTATTGTTAACTGTAATTATTTACGAAGACTTCTTAACTCAAATCGAGTGTTTTGTTTTTTTTTTCATAATAAAGCATAGTGAACTTTAAACATTTGTCTCGTGCATGCTCTATTACAGAGGAACGATATTCGTCGTTCTCTCTCCACATCTCTTCTACATTTTCCTTGTCTCATTAACCTGTATCCGGCTCCCTGAGTCATTCGCTCCTCATAAAAAAAAAAGAAGAAGAAAATCAAAAAAATGCAGTCCTTTTTAAACAATAATTTTTATTACATTGCTTATGATTAAAACAAATATTGTCTAAGAATTTCAGTGGGGCCTTTGGTCTATATAAAAAGTTATGATAAATAGAAGTCACAGTTTTGGTCCTTGCTCGATAAGTGTATGATAAGAAATTTTAAAAAAAGTAACTCGTTTTCCTAGTTGTATTTTAAGTAATAATCGTGAGTACATTATTTTTGTAGAATCAAACAATGTCTATCTATTTTATCAGGGCCTTTAGTGTATTTAATAAGTTATAATTAAGGAAAGACGCAGTTTTAGTTCTTGCTCGATAAGTGTATGATAAAACATTGAATAAAAATTTCTTGTCCTTCGAATTTCGCCCTAGTTTTAAATTGTAAGTGCATTGTTCATGTAAAAACAAACATCGTTTTTTAATTCCACCAGGGACTTCGGCATGTATAAAAAGTTATAATTAATAGAAGTTGCGAATTTGCTCCTTGCTGGAAAAGTGTATGATGAAAAATTAGAAGAAAATTGGTCGTTCACCCAACTTCATCCTGGTTTATAATTTTAAGTTCACTCTTTATGTGAAAACATTGAATGTCTATCGATTTTAGTGAGGCCTTTGGTAAATATCAAAAGTTATGATCAACCGGAAGCGAGATTTCGGTCCTTGCTTAGTAAGCGTATGGTGGATAATTGAAGGAAAATTACTCGTTCTCCTAATTTTATCCTTGTTAATCATTTTGAGTACATTTTTCCTGATAAAAAGAAATAATGTCTATTAGTTTTAGTAGGGTCATTGGTGTACATAAAAAGTTACAATTGATAGTTGTCGCAGTTTTGGTTCTCTGTAAATAAGTGTAAGTGTATGATGGAAAATTTGAGGAAAATTAGACGCTTTTTCAATTTTATCCGGGTTTATGATTTTTAGCACATTATTTTTGTTAGAAAAAAAACAATGTGTATTTATTTTAGTGGGACCTTTCGCAAAGATCAAAAATTATTACCAACAAATGGTGCGATTTCGGTCCTTGCTTAGAGAGCAGGTCGTATATTATTTAAGAAAAATTACTCGTCCTTTCAATTATGTCTTAGTTTATGATTGTTAGTACACTACTGATGGAGAAACATACATTGTTTATTAATTTCATAGGGGCCTTTTGTGTATATAAAAAGTTATAATTATTGGAAGTCACGGTTTTAGTCATTGCTCGATAAGTTTGTGATGGAAAATTAGAGAAAATTTAATCGTCCTTCCCATTGCATTTTAATTCATGAGTAGTAGTATATTTCAAACGTTTAAGCAAACATCGTCTATCAATTCCAGCGAGACCTTTGGCGTATATAAAAAGAATTATTTAACAGAATGCGAGATTTCGATCTTTGCTTAGTTAGCGTATGGTTAATAATTAAAAGAAATATACTTGTAATCTCAATTGCATTCTGGCTTCTATTTACTACATTAATTACGTAAGAGCAAACAATGTCTAATAATTTCAGCAGGGCCTATGTTGTATATACAAAATCATAATTAATTGAAGTCGCGGTTTTGGTTCTTGATAGATGAGTATATGGTGAAAAAACAAGGAAAATTATTTGTCATCCCAATTGTATTTTAGTTAATAATGGTAAGTTCATTGTTTCTGTTAAATAAAACAATGTCTACTAATTTAAGAAGGGCAATTGATGTACGTAAAAAGTTATAATTAATAGAACTCGCAGTTTTGGTCCTTGCTCGATAAGTGTATGATGAAAAATTAAAGAGAAATTACTCGTCCTCGAAATTTTATCCTAGTTAATAGACATTAGGACATTGTTTATAATTAAAACATATAATGTCTATTAATTTCGAAGAGCTCATTCGTGTGTTGAAAAAGTTATAATCAATAGACAGCGAGATTTCGGTCATTGCTTAGTGAGTGTGTAGTGCAAAATTAAAGAAAAATTACTTGTCCTCCTAATTTCATCCTAGTTAATAAATTAAAGTACATTGCTTACGATTAAAGCAAATGATGTCTGTTAAATTCAGTGGGGTATTTGGTGAAAATAAAATGTTACAATTAATAGAAGTCACAAATTTAATCTACACTTGATACGTGTATGATGAAAAATTAGAAGATAGTTAGTCGTCTTCCAAATTATATCTCGGTTCATGATTTTTAGTACATTGTTTATGATTTAAACAAAAAATGTCTACTTATTTATGTCGGGTATTTCGTGTATATAAAAAAATATAATTATTAGAAGTCGCAGTTCTGGTCCTTGCTCGATAAGCGTATGATGGAAAATTGGATGAAAATTAGTCGCCCTCCCCATTTTATCCTGTTTATGACTTTAAATACATTGTTTATGTAAAAACTAACAATGTGTTTAAATTATAGTGTCACCTTTGGCGTATGTAAAGAATTATAATAAATAGGAATCGCAGTTTTGGTCCTTAATCGATAAGTATATGATCCCTCCTAATTTTATCCTGGTTGGTAATTTTTAGTACATTGTTTTTGTTAAATAAAAGCACTGTGTTAATTTTAGTAGGGCCTTTCCCGTATATCAAAAGTTATAATCAACAGTTGGTGCGATTTTAGTCCTTGCTTAGTGAGCGAGTCGTAGATGATTCGAGAAAAATTACTCGTCCTCCTAATTGTGTTTTAGTTTATGATTGTTAGTACACTGCTTATGTGTAAACAAACATTGTTCAATTATTTAAGTGGGGCCTTTTATGTACATTAAAAGTTAGAATTATTAAGAGTCGTGGTTTTAGTCCTTGCTCGATAAGTGTATGATAAAAAATTGGAGGAAAATTAGTCGTCGTCCCAATTTTTTGTTGTGTTATGATTTTGAGTACATTGATTATGTAAAAACAAACAACTTCCAGCAATTTCAGCGAGGCTTTTGGTGTATATAGAAAGTTATAATTAACAGAAGATGAGATTTCGGTCCTTGCTTCGTTAGCATATACTTGGTAGAAATTTAAAGGAAAATTACTTGGCCTCCCAATTTTATTTTGGTTTATGATTTAAAGTACATTGTTGATGTAAAAACAAACAATGTCTATTAATTTTATCAGAAATTTAAAGGAAAATTACTTGGCCTCCCAATTTTATTTTGGTTTATGATTTAAAGTACATTGTTGATGTAAAAACAAACAATGTCTATTAATTTTATCAGAGCCTTCAGTGTATTAAAAAATTATAATTAATAGAAATCACGGTTTTGGTCCTCAATCGATAAGCTTATCTCCATCCCAATTGTACCCTGGTTTATGATTTTTAGCACATTGTTTATGTTAGAAGAATACAATAAGTGTTAATTTAAGTGGGGCCTGTTACGTATATCGAAAGTTATAATCAACAGATGGTGCAATTTTGGTCCTTGCTTAGTAAGTGAATTGTGAATAATTAGAAAAAAATTACTCGTCCTTCAACATTGTGTTTTAGTTTATGATTGTTAGTACACTGGAAATGCAAAAACAAACATGATTTTACTGTGGGGC